ACAGTAGTATTTAAGATCGGAGCCAAACTCATTAGCACAGCACAGTGATATACTAATGCACATGTGTATGATTTCATATTATATAAGCCTGCATGGGTATGGCTAAATAAAGCAGTCTGCAGGTGCTGTTTTTAAAAGTTCATGACAACAGATATGCAAAGAATATTTTTTGTATTTTAATATTAGGCTGTATGGTATTGAGGTTCTGGTGTTTATCATAGAAGCCGTACTGTAGCAGTAAAGGCCATCTGAACGAAGGGATCTTCATTTGCAGAAGGGGCAATGTTGTCAACTGATGTTGGAAATAAACGCTCCTCCTGATTTCCTTCAGCTGTTGGGATGTGCTCTGTGTTGCTTGATAGATACATAAACAGATTTTGGATTTTTATTTTACAATAATAAAACTGAAAGTAGCTTACAGTGAAACTTGGTTGAGGTGAAAAGAAATGAAGGCAGAGGTCAAAGCTGAACATTAAATAAACATTCATATCAAACGCATTTCCGGCTGACAGTCACAATTTTTTTGGTATACCAACGGAAAAGGCAAACTCTTTTTTTCTCAGCTGATAAAAGGTGTGACATCGGCGTTATTCTGCACACTGCCGTTTCAAAGTTTTTGGTCAGTAGGAAAGGTCTTCTGCTCACCAAGGCTGCATTTATTTGATCAAAAATACAGTAAAAATTATGAAATATTATTAAAATTTAAAATAACTGTTTCTATTTGAATATGTTGCAAAATGTAATTTAATCCTGCGATGCAAAGCTGAATTTTCAGCATCATTTCAGCTTCGGTCACATGATCCTTCAGAAATCATTTGCTGCTCAAGAAACATTTCCGATTACAGTTGTTGAAAAAAGTTGTGCTGCTGCATATTTTTTGTGAAACTGATACATCTTATTTTAAGATTCTTTGAATGGAAAGTTCAAAAGAAGTTCAAAAGTCTTTACTGACACTTTTGATCAATTTAATGCACCCCTGCTGAATAGAAGTATTAATTTCTTAAAAAAAAAATCTGATCAGAAATTTGGATGTAGTATGTATATTTTATTAAGTTTATTAAAAACAATCTTTCCTTTCACATGTGCTCTATTACATATTACTTAAAGGTATAGTTTAGTCCAAACTGAATTGATCATTTCTTTTCCTTTGTCATTTAAAATCTGTGTTACTTTCATTTTCAAGAGAATGGAAAAACGGGGTGAGTAAATAATGCCATAATCTTATATATATAAACTATATTTTCCTCAGTGGTGCTGTAATTGCACATTTGCCTTGACAATATGAAAACAAAAGAATACATGTGTCAATAATCTGCTTTTATTCCAAGGGAAGGACACAGAAACATAAGAATCTGCTGTTTTTACCAAATAAATAAACAAGGAAATTTAGAAAAGGAAATTTTTATTCGTTTCATTTCAGAGGAGGAATATATCTGTAGCTGCCTTAAAAGAGGGTTGGGACGAGGCGTTTCTGGTTAAAATAGGAAAAAAAAAAAAAAATCACGGAAATATCTGAATAGAAATGTAATGTCCTCTTGTTCACATTAATACTACAAAATCAAGACCGTAACATTATTCTGACGATATGAAACGTCACTGGATATAAATTCCAAAACGCATAACACTATAAAGCATAACTCCATTAAGAAATTAATTGGCCAACAAAAAGATTTCTGTTAAAGCACCATAATCGTTAAAGCATTGCACTGACTTGCAGTATGAATAACTCCTTCAAAGATAGAAAAATATAAAAATAAAAGGAAAAAGGAAAAAAAAAAAAAAAAAAA